TATAATTTAATGTCTCTAGAAAATACCTCTACACTCTTGTAGACAAAAGAATATCTCTATAAAAATGCCACAAGACATAAAGACATCTTATAAAATGCCTCTACAGAGACAATTCACTCTAAGGTACTTATGAGAAATTTTTGAAAATGCCTCTACAAGGCATTTAAAAAAGTGTCTCTATAATATTAAAACAAATATGTATTTCCGTTGTAGTTAGTATTGGCCACTCACATTATCCATCGCCTGCTAGGCAATAAAACAATTCATAAAATAAATAAATAAATAAATAAAGTGCTCCAAGTCAAATATGATGCAACCGATCGTCATTTCATCTTCTAATTTTATGATTACGTGCCCTTTTGCCTGAGCCCTGCTGTTCGTCTTCATTGCTTGTCGCTTGACGCTCGACCCATTTGCCACACCGGTGACTATGGCAGTGCCAATGTCGACGCCGTATTGTACACAGGCACACGGTCAAACTTTTGTCGATTTTCCCTGCAGCATGTGATGCAATGCGCGGTTGGCCGGTGCTCTGGCCATCCTGTAACCGGCTAGGGTTAGGCAGCTCTGGAAATATGTACCCTATTCTATATCTTGGATGTTCTTATGTATTAATTATTTTACTTTATTTTTATGTGAATGCAATATAAATACAATACAACATGTATTGCGTTCCGTTATCTTCATTGAGCATCTCAGCCCATCTTTACTTTATTTTTATTTTTTTAGATAATGGAATAAAATATCCCGGTCTGCGCAAATCTACTGGGATTGGCAAGCTACCTGTTGATTGAAATCTTTAATGATACACATGTTCATTCCAGCCCTTCCTTTAGGGATACAGCCTTGCAAAACAAACAAAATGAATGGAAACCATAATATTGTACATACAATAGGTTATGGGGATCCTAATCAGAGTACATTAATTTTGGCAATACATACACAAGAAAGTTCATATATGCTGGAAACTTACCCCCCAAAACACGAACTTTTTCCAAGTAATTTCCATATATTAATAATAAGATTGTGATCTGGACATGACTTTGTTTTGGTCAGTGAGTTGTGGCTCAATTTGGTCAATGATGTATTGGACCTGTTTATTTTGCTACCAAAGGCATGTATGGTCAACATGCTGATGTTACTGAACCGGTTCTGTTTTGGTCAGTGAACTTATAATGTTTTTTTTTGTTAGTAAACCTGCTAGGACGTGTGGCTAGGTTGGCCATTGTATTAGATGTCCACTAGGATTTATTAGATGTTAACTGGCCTATAACCTTTATATAAAATGCTTGAGCCTATTCGTTAAGCCATTTGCAGGAGTATTTGATACTACTGCAAATGGATTAACGAATTGGATTGAAGTAGTGTATAAAATGCTATGCCTTATATGGGTCAGACCTAAATCTAACCGGACTTGCAATTGGACTTAGCCATACGTAGATTGCTCACTACATGGCCCTTAACATGTCAACAGTGTGTCAATTGCTATGTTTCAGATGGACTAGGCTTACCTCTAGCCGAGCTTACAATTGAGCATAGTCCAAAATGATACTATATTGCCCTTATAGGCCAAGATGATGTTTCTTAGGTTCGATAGTGATGAAAATAAGAGTCATAAGCTCAATGATGATAGAAGGGTCATCACAAGCTCAATGACAGAAAACAAATATTTTCTTCAAAGAAGATGTACAATAGGTGATGAATGAATTTCCGTCATGTCAACATCATAGATTTCAAAACATGATATAAATTAAAAAATTTCATGACGTAAATGAAACGTTACCTACCACAGACAATCCATGGCATATTATGATTCTACATTGCCCTCGTCTATCTTTCCTTTAGAATCATATATAAAACACCTATTGAAAAAAAATGTAAACTACAAGGATTTTCTTTTTATTTCGAGTTGATGTCTCTAGCTCCAAAAATTAATTTAAACTTTAGTATGAAATAGAGTAGGATAATTAGGACGACAAAGACATTTTGTTGACATTCGAGACTAAAATTAGATCACTAAATCACATTATTTAAATTTACAAACTGCATTTTCCATAATATATCAATACATGGATTGGAGACATGCCAAAACTAGAGGGCTTTGCAGTTTGCACATGCAAAACGAATAATAATTATCCACTGCGACCTCCGCTCAAAAATAAATATAATGATTCTAACATTAGACACATGTATTAAAAATGTTAGTGAAATTAAATGGTGATGAAAAGTTATTACTGATTGAGAATAGTATGTAGATAGAGAATTTGAATGGTAGAAGTTTGTGATTGATCGAGAAAAGAACGTAGGAGAAGAAGTTGTTATATTTTAAGATAAACTTTAAATGCTAGAATTTGTTATATTTTGAAACAGAGCTTGTAACAAATAAACTTCATTCAAGGCTGCCTGAAACAGTGAAACCAGACCCTTAAAAAAGACAAAAAAAAAACAATGGAAAAAGTACACCGAAGGTCCCTCAACTTGTCATCGAATTACAAAATTGTCCCCTGACCGCAAAATCGGATACAACGTATCCCTTAACGTACAAAACCAGTGCAAACTAGGTTCTTCAGCGGTTCTGTCCCCAGTTTTGTCCCAGGTGACGGCTGAGTCAGCGTGGGACCCACGTGGACCCTACATGTTAGGTGTCCACGTAAGCACATGCTATCTTTCCCCTTTACTCCCTCTCGCTCTCTGCTCTCGCACAGGCGGCGGCATGCACGGCTGGAGGGTGGCGGCGCGCGGGCTTAGGGCGGCGCGAGCTCGCCGGCCTTCCCATCCCTCTCGTGCGGTTGGCGATGTCAGCGCGCGGCTGTGGCCATCATCACTGAGATCGACTCGACGACGACGCCATCAAGTCACTGCCGTCGGTGATGGCGGCGCGCGGCTGTGGCCGGCGGGGAGGCGGAGGAGGTACGCGCGGACGCCCTCGCCCCCGTCGTCGCCGCCGCCAACACCAACCAACTGCTTGAGACGTCGCACGCGCCATGGAGAAGAACACCGCCGCCACCAGCCAATTGATGACCTCCTCCGTGACGGCGACGCCGTCGTCGTCGAAGCGGCCGGCGGCGCGGACCAAGTTCCAGGAGACGAGGCACCCAGTGTTCCGCGGGGGTGCGGCGGCGTGGGTGCGCGGGGCGGTGGGTGTGCGAGGTGCGTGTCCCGGCCTCCCGGGCAGCCGCGCGCGGTGAGCGTCTCTGGGTTGGCACGTTCGACACCGTCAAGGAGACCGCGCGCGCACGACGCCGCCATGCTCGCCCTGTGCGGGGCCTCCGCCAGCCTCGACTTCGCCAACTCTGCCTGGCTGCTCCACGTCCCGCTCGCCCCCGTCGTCTCCACTCCAGACTCCGACCACCAGCTGCCCGACGTGCAGCGCGCCGCCAGCAAGGCCATCGCCGAGGGAGTACGTACCGCCACTGCCACTGCCACCTCCGGCGATGCTGCATCGACCGCTCCTCCGTGGCTCCATCGGCACCCGTTCTGTGTCAGCCAAACAATGCAAATTCATCTTTGTTTCTCCACTAGATTGTTGGATGTTAATGTCAAAGCATATCAGTAGTAGCAGAGCAAAAGGATCGTTGTGCCTGCGAAAAAATCCCATTTCATTTTGCATGGTTACAAATTCTTACACTTCTCTTTTGCTTGAATACATTATATTGCAGATGAATTCAATGATCGTTTTAATCCACGAATTATCAAAATATCAAGTCTTTCTGCTACTACCTATGATATCAAGTTTTTTTTTTTGGTGTTTTCAATTTATTTGAATTACACTCGTTTTTAGAGTGCTAGTTTATAATAATTGGCTGTAGCTCTTTTGAGCAAAGGCCGAATGTTATATTCTATTATTAAAAAAAACACACCACCTTTTCAGCAAGTTTTACTGCAATCAACTAGTATGAGTGGCACATAAGTAACGACGGCGACCTGATCATCCAAAGTCAAACACTCGCACAGGCGGCAGCGCGCTCGGCCGGTGACGGCACGGGCTCAGGGCGGCGCTAGATCGCCGGTGGGGGAGGCGGAGGAGGTAGGCGCGGATGCCCTCGCCATCGTCGTCGATGTCGCCACTGATGACAAGGTCTGCGCTGCTCACCAGCTCGCACGCCTCGTTGTCGTCCATGCTCGCCACCTCGGTCTGGCCGCTGAACCGTCTGGCGACGTCCTCTCACCTCAGTCATCCCTCCCAGTGAGCGAAGAATGAGGCCGAGCGGCGCGGAGTCGTCGGCGCCGCTGCTCCCCATCCGCAGCCGCGCTCGCCCATCGACGCCGCCTCGCCCCGCCGCCGCCGCCACCTCTCCGCCACCGCACTCGCCCGCCGACGCCGCCTCGCCCCGCCGCCGCCCTCTCCTTCTCTCGTGTCTCCGCCGCCGCGTCCCTGCCACCACATCGCTGGCAGGCCGTCGAACCTCCTCGCCCCAACGACTCCCTCCTGCTCTCGCGTCGTCACCGCGATGCAAGTGGAGAGGACCCAGGGCGCAGTGGAGCGGCATAGCGTTCGCCTCCAGGCTGTCGCTGGGTGCCATCTCCTTCGCCAGCTGCCGCCCGTCGCACTCCTCCCTGCTGGTCGTGGCAGCCCTCCTAGTCTCCTACCCCGCTAGCCATCGGCGCGCCCGCCGCGCCGGCACTTCTCCCTTGCCGGCTGTGCTCCTCGAGAGGAGAAAAGTGTGAGAGAGAGGAAGGGAGAGGAGGAAAGAGAGATAGAGTGTTGACGTGGCATCCTGACATATGGGGCCCACGGTGACTCAGTGGCTACGTCGGATAAAACCGGGGTCAAAACTACCGAGGATCTAGTCTGTCCTGGTTTTGTAAGTTGGGGGATACGTTGTGTCCGGTTGTGTGGTTGGAGGACGATTTTCTAACTCGATGACAAGTTGAGGGACCTTTGGTGTACTTTTTTCAAAAACAATTAGGCCATATAAGCCCAGACAGACCGGCCCAATCGAGCGGGCCGAATTCATCAGGCCCACCACCTTCTCCCTCATTAAACCCTCCCCTCGAAACCCTAGCCCGCCACCGCCTCCGATGGGTGACGGCCACGCCGCCGATAAACCCACGCCGCCGCCGCCGCCGCGGCCGGTCTTGCTCGCCGGCGCTTCGGGCGACGCCAAGCTCTGCCGCGCCGCGGCGCTGTCACGCGAGGAGGTCATCCGCCGCCGCCGGCGCGGCCTCCTGCAGCTCCACTCCCTCTACCGCGCCCAGCTCTGGGCGCTCGCCGACGAGCTCTCCGCGAGGCACGCCGAGTACTGGTGGGAGCACGGCTCCAGCCCCGACGCCGGGAATGCCGTTGGTGGCGGCGCTCCCCCTCCTCCTCATCCGGCTGTGAATGGCGGCGGCGCTGCTGTCGAGATTGCGGCTGCCAGGGCGGGGTGCTCCGCGGCGAATTGCGGCGCCAAGGCGATGCCCTTCGCGGCCTACTGCTTCGATCACATCCTCTTCGACCCCAAGCAGCTGCTCTACAAGCCCTGCGCCTTCGTCACCAACCGAAGGTACATTGCAATTTCACGCTTCCATATTCTAATTTTGGTTTGATTCAGCGCCGCGCCGTAAAATTCTGTGCGGGGAATGTGGTTGTATGGTCGGGTTCATTGTGCGATGGGTGGTTGCGATTGTTAGGGGAGATGGTTGCTTGTGAATTTTGATTATTTTTTGGTTGACTTCATGTCTGCATGTGAATTTGCGATGTTATGCCATGTTTTTTTTATAATAAAAATAGTTTGTATCATTGATCTAGTTACAAGAATCTTGCAGCCTTGTCATTATGTGTATGAGGCGTGAATAAGTATGTTTTTCACAAAACTATGTGAAAACTGAATACTTTGGTGGTTGTATTGACTATTTTTTTTTCTAAGACATTGGTGGAACAACTTCCGATGCAGGTATGGTGTGTTAGGTTTTTATGTATCACTTGCTTCGATCAGGGAACACAATTTTGGCAGGAACCAATTTTGGCGTGAACCAGCTGGTTTCTCGCCATGTCCTGGTTTCTGTTTAGGATAATATGAGATACAGTAATATGTAGGACAATGATACCTATATTGCGTGGTGACAAAAAAAAAGGGAGGGATAGTGGATTTTCTTAGACTATCCTTAATAGTTTCCCTTTATTAGATATTCAGGAACGTACATAGAAGTGATAAATATGTGGATTTGAATTAGTAGTATTACCGATGCGAATACAAATTAGGCAAATACTCAATAGGATTATTGATTCAGATATAGTATCTCGATGCCATGACTCAAAAGTAGGATTGTCCATTTAACCTACAAGCTAATGATGTCCAACCGTCCTCCATGTAGTCATTTTTCATGAATGGGTCAAATTATACAGTTTTATCTTACTAATTGCACAACATTTATCTTAGTGTCCCTGAGCTTCATGATTAGCTTCAAATACCCTGATCTTGCTGATGTTAGTAAAATTGAATCATTTTATTATTATTTTAGTCCTGGCATGTATGTTATGAGAACATTTAGTTCAACCCTCCAAATTTTGATTTGCCTTTTGTTGAATTTGGGGCTAAACCTTGGACTAGTCAAAGCTTCCTGTGATTGTCACAACTTCTGGACTTTTACAAGCTGACAAGTAGACCTGTCTATTTAGCAATACACCACTCTTTGCAGTTTACACCTCACTTGGATAACAGTCAAGCTCCCGCAATTCCTACTTTTATTACCGGTAGTATGAGGATTAACGCATAGGACAACAATTCCTATATGCTGTTTTTATGGGGGTAAAGGTTAAGGAAGGAACATTCGTAACAATGGTAAGTTGTTAAACTAGGATCCCTTCCCTATCTTTGTTAATCAGGAACAAATGCAGAACTGATAAATACATATTTGAATAAAAATAATCAATTAATGTGAATACGATTGTCAACCTGGTAATGTACAGGCTGGAGAATTCATTCACTTCATGCATTTGCATGTCCACCGCTGCTGGCTGTAGCTAGTGGCATACTCCCTCCGTCCCAAAATATAAGTATTTTTAGCTATGAATCTGGACATCAGTGTGTCCAGGTTCATAGCTAAAAATTGCTATATTTTGGGACGGAGGCCAACACAAAAATATCGGTAGGAGTGTTAGAGTGTTGAAAAGAAATTAGCACTGAGCGTTCAACTCACATGCTTAGTTGGTGTCTGTACTTCATCCCTTCAGTCCATATACCTATGCAGTCTTTTGTTTGGTCAAATCAATTTTTACTAGACTTACTAAATGCCCGTGCGTTGCAACGGGATTTTATAGGAAGATAACCCACCGAATCCGGTAACTAAAAGAACAAAATAAAATTATTTTCACTCTAATTATCAGATCATATTTGGTATTTTATATATGTGAAAAACGATACTTGAAAAATGATGTACTGTGCACGCCCGTGGTAAATGCTGATGCCCACTCTATGCCTATTCTCAACTACTCTTTCTTCCATCAAGAAGTTGGCTGTCCTCTTCTTCCTCTCTTTCTCCTAGTTGAACACATCGATCTCCAGCTCCTAGCTCTCAAGCCTTCATCACCTTCCAGGCTTCCTTGTCCCTTTGCTTCACAGCTCCTTCACTTCACCAACAAAGAAAGCGGTGGGGTTCCAAATGTTCCATGCTCTAGCTACCAAGTAGCAGCACACCAGTGTGAGATTCACAGGTTTCAATCGAGGCATGACGATGCCAAATGGGCCAGAGGCTTCTGTTCTCTCACTTGCTCCAACTCGATTCCCCTCTCGGGGTCTGCTCTCTCCCATGATGGGCCAGAAGCTCCACGGTACTCCCAACACCAGCGAGCTCGATCGACAAGGACAAATCCGACCCTGTATCCTGCGAGCTGCTCTTGGCCTGATGATCAGATCCAGCAAGTCGCTTCTCTGGATAACCTGGGGCCATCAGCTGCTGGCAGCGGTGGATGCTTGGGGCGTCGTTGAGGGAGAGAGAGAACGGACACCACCAATAGCCCATCAGTTTCCTGATTAGCTTGTAAAGTTCCTAAACTTGTTTGTGGTCAAAACGAGTTAACTATAACATTGGTGGTAAAGGCGGCTGTTAGCTTGGTAGCTCTATAGAACTATTGATGGGTGTCAGAATTTTTATTACGATTATCCAAATTTGCAGGATTTGGCTTATTTCTTTATTAGAAAAGGCTATTATTATCAAATACTGTAATTTGTGGGATTTGGAGATAATCCTCCAATCATGGTTATTAAGGCGTCGCTATAGCGTTGTGGCGTTCACGGAAGGGCAAGGTGTCCTTCCGCCTTAGGCTTCTCCCCTTTACAGGTATGAACTGAAGGAGAGAGGTTAAGAGCAGAGGGGAAAAGTCCACTGTCTTGCTGCTGGTCCTCCCTGGTGGCGCTCTCTCCCCTTATTGTGCCGATGTGGAGTAGAGGGACTGCTGCTGTTGTGCCATATGAGAGAGAAAAGGTGGAGGAGAGGAGGCTGCTGGCTGCAAGAAGGAAGAGAGGATAGGAGGATGGTCTGCTTGCTGCATCGAGGAGAGAGAGAGAAAGGTGGATGAGAGGAGCCTGCTGCAGTGCTGCACGATAGGGGAGAGAGATCTGGATGAAGGTGAGGTGGTGGCTGCTAGGAAGGAAGCTGTTGGGTAGGGTTAAATTGCTACCTGGTAGGTTGAGAGAAAGTAGTGGGCCTAGGTTAGGTGAGTGCTTGGATGGGCTACTACTATTGGGCTGCGCTGTGATGAATAGAGTACCCAATTAGTGTATTTACAGCCCATATTTCTTATTCTTTCTATCTTTTCACTGCACGTTAGGTGTCGCCACGCCATATTCATTATCGCTCACTATGGCAGTAAGGCGGTGGTGGATCACCACACCTCACCATACCGCCTTAATAACATTGCCTCAAATAAACATGTGTATAGCAGCTGCTATCATTCTACTGTATTTTATAACCTAGGGATTTTTAGGTCTCACAAATAGGCATATCATATGCGTATGAAATATCTGTGTTGATATAATACATAATTTGTAGGATGCAAAATAATATGTTGCTTATTAGTTGTACTTCTTTTGTTGGAACAAGGGGAATGGGGAATGACTTTTTGGATGCCAATTTACTCTTCGAAGAATTCATCTTGTTACTTAATGAGCAATTCTCCTTATATCTGATTACTATTGTTTATTCTTCTGCAGTGGCATGCAAAATGGGGTAGAAACTTGTGGGAAACCTGTTCTGACAGGCATTACTCCATCACGATGTTCTGATCATGATCCAAAATCTCAGAGGCTCGTTATAGAAGCTTTGAAAAAAGTTGGAATTGACCTGCACTTGACAAGCAATGGAGTGCCAAAACTGAATCTATTGATTTGTGAAACAGTCCGCCAAATTCAGAGGAAAAGAAAGATGCAGTTGAATGGCGCAAAGAATGCGCCATTTCATAGATCGTCGGATTGATTCTTTTGGATCAACATATGATCCTGTTGTACATGAAGGCTGACAGACATGACGATCATCCACTGTAAATACCAGGTATACCAGGTATTGAGGATTTGAGGTGCACCTCGTAGTTCAAAGGAAAAACAATAAGAGCCAGAAAACACGCTGGAGGTTTTATTACAGTGCAAAAATCTTTGCAAAGAATAATCTTTCCCTCTACCATCCTTGAAGGAAGTCGAAGTTGGACTTTAAGCTTCCAAGGAAATGTAAAATGTTCTTTTTTGGATCATATTAGGCTACCCATTTAGGGATGTACAGCCTTATCAGTATGTTGTAGTTTTAGCATGTAAGTCATTTTAGCATGTCCCACATTCATATTGATGTTAATGAATCTAGATAGATATATATGTCTAATGACTTATATTGTTAAACGGAGGAAGTAGCTAATAGTCTGAATTCTGAAACACAGGTGTTGCTGGAGGCCAAGAGCACTCCCAGCAGTGACGACAGCACACCTAGTACCCCTGCACTATTACAAGCCTGCTCTCTTATCTCTATGTGACTTATCTTTTCATTGATGAAGACTGCTCTCTATGTGACTGAGAACAGCCGAAAAAATCTGAAAGAAACAGGCACCACAAGCATCCACCACATTCTCTCTCTCTGTAATCTGGTAATATGATCCTCCACCTTTGAGAATCAAACACTATTTTACTATTGGAACCTACTTCAAATCCACTGAAAATCATTGATATGTATTATCTGCTTCATTACTAGATTATCCATCCAAAACAAAAAAAAGTATTATTCCAAATAATAACATTTATATTACTCCCTCCACTGTGTATAATAAGTCGTTTGACTTTTTTTTCTAGTGGAACTTTCTTAAATTTGGCCAAGTTTATAAAATAATTTAGCAACATCTAAAATATTAAATTAGTTTTATTAAATATAACATTGAATATATTTTAATAATATATTTGTTTTGTGTTGAAAATACAATATATTTTTTTTATAAACTTGGTCAAACTTTAAAAAGTTTGACAAAAAAAAATCAAACGACTTATTATTTGAAAAAAAAAGTCAAATGATTTATAATAAAAAATAAAGGGAGTATATGAGAACCTCGTTGGAAATCGAATTGAAATAGTGCAGCCGCTACCGTGACCACACAGTTAAGTAGTAACCATACATAATATCCACCAACGATCTTTTCAGTTTTATTAGATTATATCAATCCAAAACATGAAATATTCAAAATACTAACATTTATACGAGAGCCTCTCTGTAACACTGGACTGAGTTACAGTGCGGTTGCTATTGTGACTGCACAACACTAACCGCACGCAATCTCAGCCATCCATTTCTCAATCAAAGGGTTCAAACCCACACTACTGTCTCATCATCACCTATAGGATCATTAGCTACAACATTTTTTTTCTATGGTACATAGAGCCATCACAGCTTTCATTTTACTACCTTCGTTCTAAAATAAAGCTATCTTCAACTATGAACCATGAAAACAAAACATGTCCAAGATTCATAGCCAGAAATAGCTACATTCCTGAGACGGAGGTAGTAGATTCAACTGTCACTCAAACCTCGGCTTTCTTCGTCGTCGTCGTCGCTGTCGCGGATACCTTGGCATCCTCCATTGATGGCTGAACACGTGGATGATGCCTATACGTGTACCTCCATGCGGAGTAGAGGTAGAGGAAGAAGGCGACGAGCTCGAACACGGCGAGCAGCCAGTAGAACCGGTCGAGGTGGCTGGCGTCGAGGTCGGCGCCGTCGAGCCAACCGCCGTGTCCGGCACCGCCGGCGGTGGCGCGGTTGACCGCCTGGATGAGGGCGCCGCCAAGCCACGACGCGACGCCGAGGATGCAGAAGAAGACGGCGCCGCCGATGGACTTCATGCCGGCGGACGCCTCGCTGTAGAAGAACTCGAGGAGGCCGACGAAGGAGGTGACGTCCATGACGCCGAGGAGGAAGAACTGCGGCGTCAGCCAGAACACCGACATGGCCGGCGCCGCGACGCCGAGGCAGCGGCGGCGGCGCGACTCCACGGCGGCTGCGAGCGCGAGCGCGGCGGCGCTGGACGCGAACCCGAGGCCGACGCGCTGGAGGTGGGTGACGCCCGCGGCGTAGCCCGTGGCGCGGCGGAGCCACGGCACGGCGGCGCGGTCGTAGGCGACGAGGATGAGCATCTGGAAGACGATGGGGACGACGAAGAGGCTCGCCGGCGGGACGCTGGTGCCGGCGAGGCGGGTGTCCATGGCGCCGCCCTGCTGCACGGTGAAGGTGAGGAGGAGAGGGATGGGGACGTAGCCGAGGACGGAGGTGAGGAAGACGGGGAGCATGCGGAGGATGATCTTCGCCTCCTCCACCTGCGTCACCGTGCACGCCGACCATCGCCGCCGGTCGCCGTCGTCCACCGCCGCCTTGTCCAGGAACCTAAGCTTGCACACACACCAAAGAGAAATGCCACCAAAATTAACAAATTAACCACACAAGAGAAAATTCATAGAAGCTAATTTCAGATTGATTTGTTTGAGAAAATTCATAGAAGCTAATTTCAGATTGATTTGTTTGAGGGCTATGTTTCTAAATTAAAAATATTGTATAAAAAATACTCCTCTCTGAAAGAGAGAGAGAGAGAGAGAGAAAATTCATGGTAAAATAAATTCGAAAATATAAAATTCAATGAAATACAAAAGAAATCCTTTACATTGTGATAATGTTTTTTTAATGATGACAACATGAGTTTTGCAGGATATATTGAGATGGAGTAAAAAATTGCCAAAATACAAAAAAGTTATTAGGAGGGGCGAGGGGTTAACAAATTAACGACACAAGGGAGAAATTATGGCCATACTAAAAGTGAAACACAGGTTGGAAAATCTAAAATTAAATGGATTACAAAATTCCCTTTAGATTCGAGATACTACTTAAATTTCAGGCTTACTTGAAGTCTGGAGTTTTATCCAGCAGCTCGATGGTCGAGCCGTCAGAACACTCCTGCATTTCCACCAAGCTCTCCGGCATCGTGACGTTCCTCTTCCTGAACGCCGCCACAAAAACCTGTCAAATTTCACACAAAAATCAAAATGTTGGATGATTAAAAATTTATACACACATCTCTCCGACAAATTACCAGCAAATTCACAATCTCCATACAGCGCTCACAAATTTTAAATCTATATTATGCTTAAGGAAAGTAGATATAGATAGGGACTTATATATACTCTTCCAAGAAATAACTTAATTTCATAATTGTAGAAAATTTCAGGTCTACTGATAGGTCCCGGAAGGATGTACCATGGTAAAAAAAAAACGAAAGAAGAAACTATCCAAATTCAGTGAAAATTTGATAAGATTTTTTTTTTAAAAAAGAGAAATTTTCTAAAATTTGAAGCTTTGATCCCAAAATTTCTTCGGTATCTCAGCTCGGTACTCTGTACTTTTCTAAAAAAATACATGATTTGAAGGAAAAGACGTCTCTCTAAACTTTTTTTTAAGAAGACAATATAAATGACATCCCTTCAAATATCTTTTAAGAAAAAATTATAAGCGTGTTGGGAACTGAAACCACATCCCCTTGCCACTGCAAGCATCTCACTCCGTGTGTCCAAATTCAGTGCAAATTTGTTACGAATTCAAATGTTTTTATCGAAATTTTTCTTTGATGTGCCACTCTGATCAGATCAGTTGAGTACTACTACTTTGAGTTACCTGGAGGATTCTGGTGAGCGGGCTGCCGGTGGGAACGCGGTGGCGGTAGAAGGGGAGGCCGGCGAGGACGACGGCCATGGCGACGAGCGCCATGAGCGCGGCGAGCGCGAATCCGAGGTCCCACCCTTCGTTGTTCTGCACCCACACCACGAGCACGAGCCCCACGAGCCCCCCCAGCGAGATGCAGAAGGCGAACCAGTTGAAGAAGCTCGCCTTCCCCCGGGCCTCCGCCGCCGCCGCCGCCGCCGGGTCGTCGCCGCCGACCTCGCCGCCGTCGAACTGGTCGCCACCCAGCGCCGCCCCGCACACCCGCAGCGCGCCCTCGCCGAGCGGGATCACGTACAGGCCCAGCCGGAGCAGGCTCAGGTTCCGCCCGCTCACCGCCGCGCATTGGCCGGCGGCGGCGTCGCACGGCGGCGGGTGCAGCGACGGGAAGTGCGCTTGGCATGCTAGCAGCATGTATCCCTACCAAGTGATAATCACATTAATACATTATTAATCCATATATAGTGGTTTTTGGTTTTTCACTTGCACTAATAAATTAAGTACAGTAAGTTAGATTGATTTTTTTTTTTGAAGGATGGAGTAAATTGTACTTTACACCGGGTAAAGTGTACTTTGTTTTGCTTTGCGCGCGCAAGGTTTTCTACAAATTTTCACTTTACAATAGGTCTAACGATATTAGAGCACCCGCAATGGTAAAATAAGGTGCTATCTATAAAACATGTACATCTCAGCATTAGACTAGATTAATAATAAACAACTTCGATAGTATGTCTATATGGGTAACTATAGCTCTGTAATCCATTGCCTCGTTTTTCTCTATAGACTATCTCCAGGTTAGTAGATAGCTTTGCTCTCTCTCTCTTCATTTAATCTCTTCCAAGTATGAAAATATGCTGACATGGATCTCTTGTAGAGAGCCTATAGATAACCATTGCGGATGCCCTTAGTTTTTACTTAATACCATTATATGCTTCGTCAAACCTATAGAAATTTCATAAAATTTGAAAGAAACATCATGAAAAATGATCTAAATTCGAGAAGTTTCATAGGTTGTATTCGTATTTTACAAGGCTTCTCTTCATCTATTATAGGAAGCAACTTAGTGCAAAGCGAAACTTATTTTGATATGTTTTGATATATAATGAAAGTATGTAATAAACCTAATTGAAAAGTGAAACAAGGTATATTGTAAACAGTGAAATGTGAAATTAAATTATTTTACGGTTGTATCTATTGGTAGTAAAATTTAGGTATCTTTTTAATCTAACGGATTGTATTTATTTGTATTATCTAAGGGAATAGTTTTTTTAAAACACTTATTAATTATTAGTGACTAAATTACTCAAAGCTTCTAATTTTCTACTGATGATAATTTTGGTAGTAGAATAATATCAACTGATATAGAATCCAATAAAAACAATTGGAAAAGTTACTCAAACCTTAAACCATTGATGAGATAGACTAAACATGTTTTAACTTTATAATTAAGAACTGAGCCTTTGTCACTTTACTATTGGCCAACCAGTAGACCCAAAAGCTTAAAGTACCATTCATATAATCCTAAAGATGTACGAATGGTTTAGGATGCTTGCCAGAATTTCGATGGGAGCAAAGATGAGGATGGTGTAGAAGCGCTTGATGTAGGAGTCGGAGATGAAGGCGCCGAGGAAGGAGAAGACACAGATTGCACCGTAGAAGTTGGCGGCGGTGGTGGAGGCATCGGCGATGCCCATGTGCATTGTGCCATGCAGGTAGCTCACTATGTTTAGCATAGTGGGAATGTTCCCCATGTTGGTCATCACAATCAAGACTGCAAGCGCAAATTAAAGAAAATTGTGTATGATCAGCCTATAGTTTGTAAATGAATAACGGTAAATACCATGTTCTCCTTTTATAACGATAAATACATCCCTTTCTCAAGAACAAAATGTTATCCTTCTTTACTTAAAAAAAAATTATGTAACTTAGTGTTCTTGAAGCAATAGATAAATAATTTTATTTTAAATGTGGTACTCTCTCCCGGTTGACAATACTTGTTGTATTGGATAAGGCTAATGTTAAACTTTAAAATATTTAACTGTGGATAATTTTCAAAATATTAGTTTTAAAAAGTACGTACTTCGATATAATTATATATTTATTGATATTTATATATATATTATAATAGAAAATAGTGGTTAAAGTTGGTTTTTGAGATCATATCCTCGTCTAAAACAATAAGTATTATTAAACTAGAGGGACTATGTGCTGGTTCAGCTCTCCATTTTCCAATGAAGAAAGAAATAAATAAAATTTGATGCATCATCATGTGTTATTTGCTAGGACAGCTGGTCCTCTTCAGTTGCACAAGGAAACAACCCAACAAATGCCGATCAGGGGCCCTTGAGCTGATCCTGACCATTGATTTCTGATCCGACGACTGCGGATTAAGGAAGTTATATACTTACCGTAGATGAACATTACTGCCTTCAGACCACCATGCCTCCTGGGATCAACCGGTCTTCCCCTCCAGTCCACAAGGCCTTGCACTTGCAGAGCCATGGCTATAGCTCTAGATCTTCACAATTCTCTGCAAGATCTCAATTGCAAGCTAGCTAAGTGGGCTTCACTTCACTATGTGTCGCAGTCTTGACTCCTGATGAGATGAGATGATATGATATATCTTTGTGGCTTGTGATGAGCAACAATTGTGGCTTGTATTGGTGCCCTTTTATAGCCGTGGAAGAAGTGCAGATATCGATAATGGTAGTATCTGTGCAGGCAGATCATGATGCTACGTTTGTTTTTCTTCAGTGATGCTGACTCATTTTTATTACTAAAAGATCTTCTAAATAATCGATCACTCGATTGATTGAATTTGACACTAGTTCGTCATATGTACTAGTTGTTTTCTGGTACATAGGGCCCGTTTAGTTCGCGAACGAAAATTTTTGGCGTGTCACATCAGATATACAGATACACATTTGAAGTATTAAACGTAGCCTAATAACAAAACAAATTACAAATTCCACCTGAAAACTGCGAGACGAATTTATTAAGACTAATTAACCCGTCATTAGCAAATATTTACTGTAGCACCACATTGTCAAATCATGGAGCAATTAGGCTTAAAAGATCCGTCTCGCAATTTACACGCAATCTATGTGATTAGTTTTTTTTTATCTATATTTAATACTCTATGCGTGTGTCCAAACATTTGATGTAACAGGGTGAAAAGTTTTTGCGTGGGAACTAAAGAGGGTTATAGTTGGGTTGTTGGCTCCTGCTCAATTAACAGGCGAGCTACCCGCATTACCCCTTCCATCAGAACTGCAACACCCCTTTGACTGTAGGTAACAAAAGACATAATTTAACATCAGTGACGAAACCAGAAAGAAATAGCAGGTAGAGCTTAATAAACTGGATAAAACTTAAATCTATATTTCTTTTGGATGTATGCCAAATAATTTTAGAGGGTGCTCAGTGGGACTCTCATGTTCCTAACGCCGGTAGTGGGGCTCGAGACCCCTTAGTCCCATGGCAGGTTCATCCTTGGTTAACATTTCTCCTAATCAAACCATTGATAGTACTAAACTCATTTATACTTTACAATTGGGATTGTCGTGACACATTCTAAAACAACCTCAGGATATAGGAAATAAAAAAAATATCAAGAACTAAAACTACCACTCCCCTCTATAAGAAATTCAATTTATTAGTCTTATCATTGAATTTGATTTATAGCCACAATTTTGTCTTACCTCAATCCACTGGTATTTTCTCAAGTCATAACCAAGAGAAAATTTGGTCTCTTTCAGTTCAACTAGGAAGGAAGCCCGCGCAGATGCGCGGGCATGTTATTTATTGATTGTAAAAAGAATGCTTAAAGAAATCCTCCCTCATCGTATTCGTTATATGTACGATAAACTACATTATAATTAAGAAATTTGAAAAAGAATATTCTATACTGTGAAATAGTTTATAGTCTTTGATATACTGAATTTCACTCATATTAAACTAAAATCACTTTGTCCCGATTACATCTACACCGGCCAGTCACGATTATTTATTATCATTGTCCTGAATGTTATGTTTGGGTAACTTGTAAATTAAGGGCTAGAACATAGTCCCACACACCTCTTTTTAATCAAAACATTTACTTGAGGTTTTTATAAGAAAAAGGTGACAATTTATTCAATTCCATTGTCCAACAATTTACCTTAAAATATCTCGGTGGTAAGAATCATAATCCCCTCCGCCCCTCCGCTTTCTCCCTCCCCTCCCCATCGGCGGTGACATCCCTCTCCCCCCTCCCCTTCCTGTCTCGCTAGCATGGCGCGACAGCTGTACATTTCGTGGTACGGAGTGACGACGGTGAGGGTATAGCATGAAAGACGTTTCCTTGGCAAGGCACAACGACAACGGCAATATGGCGCAACGACGGCGTGGGCACGGCCAAAGCTGTTTCGTCGGGGCGGTGCAGCGACGGCGGGGGTACAGCATTGGGACAACGATGACAGCTTGGCAACAACCCATCTCCCTCTCCCACTCAGCCTCTTCATTTTCACTGTCAAATGCGGGAGATGTTGGCGGCGGGGAAATGGGCTCAAGGACGACAACGGTGGATCCAGGAGGATGATGGCAGTGGTGGTGTGGTTGGCAAGTTCAGCTCGATTCGAGCCAGCTTTCTTTTTTTTTTCTCGTGCAAAGCTAAAGGTGTTTGTTCTATTTTCCTCATAGGTGTCGGTTGCTGGTATTGATATTGATAAATTGGTGCCGGATTTTCATCCTACGATACAAATCGGCACATATGGCATCTTCTGTAGTCGTGTTAGGATGTTAGGTGACTTCTAATCTAATCCATTCATCTTCTTTAAAATCCATGCGGTTTTTTCTTAAGCGCATCTCACATAGTAAAACTATTTTTATTCGGCGAATAGTAGGAGTACACACTTACACAAGATTTTTTTTTTTTGGCTTTTTTGCCCAGTGAACAATACTATGTATTATACGTACGCGGGATTTTTTTTTCCCGGTTTGTTAAGTGTTATTTTCCTAATAGATCTCTGATCTAATGGTATAAAATAACTGGTCTATCGATTTAAGTGAAAATCAAGGGTCAGATGTTTTATATTTTTCTCAGAATATTTAGGATTTCCTATTATAATTACATATTTTTTTATATTAAAGTGAATGATCAAATATATGCTCAAATATCAATAGCATAAAAAATCATAGGTGAGACCGATATATTGTAGGGTATTCAATATAAAACTAAATAAAGAAAAGGTTAAATGGAGAGTAAAAAAAGTGGGGCGCATATACGTTACATGCGTACGGATGAGGGAGGCGTACGTACACGCGGGGTGAGATGAGAGAGGGAGGAATAGCTTCTTTTTTATTCTAACCTAATGGTCTAAAATAATGTGGAACCACCTATTTAATTAAAAATCGAGAGCTAAATGTTGCCTCCATATAGCGGTATAGGAGCATTTTTAGAAATCTCACGTGACGGTTTAATAGCGTTTCTAGGAATTTTAATGGATTTTTAAGTATATTATAGATAAGTATATTGAAACTATGGTTCTAACATACATATGAATTGAATTTATAATTTAAAAGCTACAATTGTTGAAAGATTGTCTATTTTTTTTGTAAAACCCATAAAGGTCATGCAGCCCTTGAAGTGCACAATGAGCTGAGCTTAGTCTAACCGAGTTGAAAATAAGTTGGGATTAGATATCATTTTAGTTACCATACATAAAAAGTGAGAGTTCGTTAGAAATGAAAAAAAAAACACAGTTCGTTAGAAATGAAAAAAAAAACACAGAGAGAGAGAGAAGGAAAGGGAGGTTGGGTGTAGATCCGTACACGTACACGCAAAACAAACGATTGGAAATTGGGATTTGTTTTTAATTTACAGATAGATCTGATGGTTCAGGATATTAGACCCACTAATTTACTTAAAATCAAGGGAGCATGTTTTTTATTTTTACTAATTTATTGAAATGTCATGTATCAATTTAGGAGTATTTGTAGGAATGCCACGTGGCGATACGAGAGCGTTTATAGGTATTTCAGTTTTTTCTTCACCTAGCAAAATATATGCAATACCGATCTTGATGTATTTATTTAATTACAAATAAAAATAGCACAAATGAATTTAATGCTGTATATAAATTGAAAATCATGATTATTTAGCTATTTAAAATTAAAACTATTTTATAATGAGTTTTTAGAAAATAGGAGAAAAAGGGGAGGGCATGTGGAATACGTTGCACATATGTACGTACTTACGTACGGTGGCAAGTACTACAGGGGAAGGGAAGGTTAGAAATTCTGCGAGATAGATCTAATAGGCCCATAGGTTGGTTTGAGTATCTATTCCTTTAAATCGATCTAATGGTTAAAAATAATGGGTCTACTGATTTAAGTAAAAATCAATGGTGAGATGATTTTCTTTTTTCTAGTATTTTTTTCTAATTTATTAGAGCGCCACGTGGCGACTTAGGAGCGTTTGTAGAGCGCTACGTGGCGGCTTGAGAGCGTTTATAGGAAGTTTAATGGACTTTTAGTATATAATAGATAGAAGATAGATAGAAGATAGATAGATAGATAGATAGAAGATAGATAATAGATAGAAGATAGATAGAAGATAGATAATAAATAATAGAAGATAGATAGATAGATAGAAGATAGATAGATAGATAATAGATAGATAGATAGATAGATAGATAGATAGATAGATAGTAAGAGGAAAAACATTTCCTTCGGTAGGTAAGCTGTCAATGGCGTCCATGGGGCAGGGCATGCAAGGCTACTTGGAGTATCTATCGATCAACATTGAACAAAGAGTGGAGGTATACTGGATATCATTTGATCCCAATTAATATACTGTAGTTTGTGCAAATAAACGGTTATATCATCATGATTCTTAGTTTAGTCAATATTGTACTAAGACGTACTAAGACCGGTTATTCATATGTAGGTAAATATTAAATTTTACCATCCTTGTCTCCTTCAAAAACTACAATCTTCATTCCAAAATATAAGTGGCTTTTGGCTATGTATCTAGATCAACATAGTATTAATTATGAGATGCCAAAATAATTTTTCATTGGTCGTACCTTCAAAATTCTGAAGTCATCATTTGGGTACCTCTCTCGGTAGTTCGCAAGGGCAAAAGAAAAGCTCTAATCACTGTGATCAACTTATTTGTGGAAGAAATTTTCCATCCACCTTGCCTTTGATCAAATCCTCCCGGCTATATGTTTATATTAAACAATTGACTAATGATTTACTTAAGTTTATGATAAAATCTGCTTAATTCACTTTTCAGTCAAAAAAAATCTGCTTAATTCACCTTATAGCTCATTGAAAATTAATTACTTATACAGTTTTACATCAAAAGATTAAAAACACTTAAAAGTAAAACAACAGTGACTAATTAAAATGTAGCTTTTCATATATTAAATACCACCAGTGGCAGTATATGGGGTTGGGGTGACATACTTATAATTGGCAGATAAAATTTACATAATTTTAAATATACATTTTTAATTAATCTACCCTATAATAATTCACCAACTCACTCTTACACCTACATTACTCATTCATCAAATCCGATGATCCAAAATGATTCCATCAAATCCAACGATAGCTGCGGCATACAGGTCACCCCGGCGGAGGAAGTGAAG